TGCTCTTGATGACAGAAATATCCTTGAATGAGCTAACGATGCTAAGATGCTTCCTGAACGTCAGACCTGATTATATTTATATGTATTTCTGTCCAAGACGTCTCCCTCACACACACTTCTGGACTTTGTGGCTCGATGCAGATGCAGCAGTGATAAGTGTTATCTGCAGGATGTTCACCAGCATCAACACACACACACATACACACACACACATACCATGTATACATCACTTTAGAGGACATTACATTGACTTACATGCATTTCCTGGAGACTTATCCTAACCTTAACCATAACCAACACATGCCTAACCCTAACCCTTACCCTTAACCTAACCCTAACCCTAACCCTAACCCTAACCCTTACCCTAACCCTTACCCTAACCCTAACCCTAACCCTTACCCTTAACCTAACCCTAACCCTAACCCTTACCCTAACCCTTAACCTAACCAAGTCTTCACCCTAAAATTAATGATTCCCCTTATGGGGACCTCCAATTTGTCCCCATAAGGGAGGCGAGTCCCCACACGTGACTGTGTAAACAGATGTAGGTCCCCACAAGTATAGTAATGCTAGGACACACACACACACAGACACACACACTGATCTGAACTGACAGCAGATGTCCATCCACCGGGAGTCACACGCACACACGCACACACACACGCATACACACACACACACACACACACACACACACACACACACACACACACACACACACACACACACACACACACACACACACACACACACAAGCCTTATATAACCCGGCTTGTTACTAATGAACAACAGCTTTCGTATCATGTTCCTGCGTCTCGTTGACATGCAGGAGTATGCCCAGCTCTGAGATAATACACACTTTCAAGGATTTTCAACACCAAAAATAAATCGATCCTCCCAACGGTGCATTCACAGGCTCCTCGGAAAGTCAGATGTTCCTGTTTCACATGGTTCAGTGTGTTAAAGAGCGTACATTTTGAACAACAGGAAGATGTGTTTATTGCTCAGAGCGACTAAACAACACGAAGCTGATTCCCCAAATGCAACACAAATGCGCTATCTTGTAAACAATAATGCGTAAATCCGCTTCCATAATTCATATACTTGCACATTTTGTATATGTTCTTCCTCTGCTCATACCACACCCTGACACCAAGTTTCATTCAAATCAAGTAAGTCGTTCTTCCGTAATCCTGCCCACAAATAATAATAATGATTTAAAAGCCGCTGAAAGAGAAACGCTTGCCCTTTAAACCTCTGAATGATCTCTGCAGGAAAACAAGTCGTCGTATAATGAACATGATGAAAGGTCATATGTCACATGATGAGCCGTACAGGACTCAATGCATGTGTTAAAAAGGATTTCACGCTCCAGTGTTGAGCAGACAGGAAGTAGCCTACTATGTAACGCTGACAGTTCTAACAGAGCAGTACTGTGCAGAGAGAAAACCCCCGACGGCTGATTTCATACTCAGGATTCAGAAGTCACGAGAGTGACGTCAAGAAAGACCCTCAGATCATTCTGCAGCGGCGTGACGACTCTCTCCGTCAACCAGGAACAAAAACAGTGAAAATGTACCGTTTAGTTCGTCAAACATTAGGATGATTGTCACTTTAATATTATAGAAAATGGGTAAAAGCAGCACATCTCCAGAGGCTGAGATCAGCTTTTAAAGACGCTTCTCCATTCAGAATGACCTTTTCTTTGCAGATTATTTAAATTGAATTTTGAAGCCATGAATCTGTCCGCAGAAACGCTGCCAGCCAATCAAAACCTTCATAGATGGACAGTTTTAGGGCAGAAAGTAGAGCACATCTTCTCCTAAAATCTAGGCAAAATAGCCGGTTTAAAAGATTCAATAAAAAGGGAAATGTTTGGAAAGTCTCTCGTCAATAACGTCACAGAAAGTTAGTCAGCGTTTTAGACAGAACACTTAACTTAAAGTAAAAACAGCCTGCAGCACACGGGTCATTATTTAAGAAGCACAGGGTGTTCTCTCTCCTGTAGGGTGTTCTTTAGGTTTTAGTGCACGTAAATGGTCTCCAGAGGCTAACATCCCGGTTCCCTCCCTAATACAGCCGGCCAGCTGACCAATCAGAGGAGACTGAACATCAGGAGAGGACTCTTTAAAGTAGAGACACTACATACTGATATACACCTGAACATCAGCAGGAGAGGACTCTTTAAAGTAGAGACACTACATACTGGTATACACCTGAACATCAGCAGGAGAGGACTCTTTAAAGTAGAGACACTACATACTGATATACACCTGAACATCATCAGGAGAGGACTCTTTAAAGCAGAGACACTACATACTGATATACACCTGAACATCAGCAGGAGAGGACTCTTTAAAGTAGAGACACTACATACTGATATACACCTGAACATCAGCAGGAGAGGACTCTTTAAAGTAGAGACACTACACACTGATATACACCTGAACATCAGCAGGAGAGGACTCTTTAAAGTAGAGACACTACATACTGATACACACCTGAACATCAGCAGGAGAGGACTCTTTAAAGTAGAGACACTACATACTGATATACACCTGAACATCAGCAGGAGAGGACTCTTTAAAGTAGAGACACTACATACTGATATACACCTGAACATCAGCAGGAGAGGACTCTTTAAAGTAGAGACACTACATACTGATATGCACCTGAACATCAGCAGGAGAGGACTCTTTAAAGTAGAGACACTACATACTGATATGCACCTGAACATCAGCAGGCGAGGACTCTTTAAAGTAGAGACACTACATACTGATATACACCTGAACATCAGCAGGAGAGGACTCTTTAAAGTAGAGACACTACATACTGATATGCACCTGAACATCAGCAGGAGAGGACTCTTTAAAGTAGAGACACTACATACTGATATACACCTGAACATCAGCAGGAGAGGACTCTTTAAAGTAGAGCCACTACATACTGATATACACCTGAACATCAGCAGGAGAGGACTCTTTAAAGTAGAGCCACTACATACTGATATACACCTGAACATCAGCAGGAGAGGACTCTTTAAAGTAGAGACACTACATACTGATATGCACCTGAACATCAGCAGGAGAGGACTCTTTAAAGTAGAGACACTACATACTGATATGCACCTGAACATCAGCAGGAGAGGACTCTTTAAAGTAGAGACACTACATACTGATATACACCTGAACATCAGCAGGAGAGGACTCTTTAAAGTAGAGACACGAGATATGAACCTGAAAGTCAGCAGGATATGTCCTCTTATATGAGATGTCATGCTTTTCGAGTGCTGGAATTCTAATATAATTCCTGTAGCTTCTGCTAAAGCTGCAGGATAACAGGAAACCGCCCACTGGATTATAATTATTCTGCACGGCCTCACTTCAAACGACCAACTGAGCTTTGCTGCATTACATCTACAAAGTCCAGCTAGATATGCACAACATGTACATTTCTAGCTGAGCCTGTTCCTCTGATAGCTTCAGATCCAGATATTCCACACAACACATGCTCAAAGGAGATATGACGCCGTTACAGGAGGCGAGATGATGGTGACAAGAGTGAAAGGGACATGTGTATGAAAGCGATGCAGTATCTAGACAAAAAGACCCCAGTCAATGCAGAACAACCCTCTTTATCTTCACACAGTTACAGATGTGAAGGAGGCACAGAAAGCGTGTTATCATGTTCGAGGCGTGGTCTGTTGGCCCAGCTCTTATCTGGTTTAACACGTGTTAAACGACGACGAAGGGGGTTCAAAAAATGAAGAATAATCAAACAGATATCACTCAATTATTTTTGTGATAATTGTGATTAAGTTTGGTATCATTTTTTAATGAGAACGTCAAGAAAAGTTTATTATTAAGATTCAATTTAGCTCTTTAACTTGTACAATTTAAAGTAAAAAGGGAGAAAATGTTTAAGCTACATTTATTTATGACATTAGAAATATTTAAACCACCACCAAAACTGATTATAGTTTGATTTGATACATTTTTCTTAATTTTTTATAGTACTTTTACTGTTTAATACGAATATTTTAATCAGCATTAATCAAATACAGTTCCCAGAATGCTTTGCTGACAAACCCTGGTTGTGGATATACATTAAAGCTAATATATGGAGTTTTTAAAATGGTCAGTACGGAAGTATTTATGGAAGTTAAACTTTATTATGGCACTTAAGAGTCCATGCTTTACAGTTGACAGAACAGCTGATTATCAGATCAGATAACAAATACAGTTTAACAAACCTTTATGACGTCACTAAGTTCAACTATACCTTATTTTGGCATTTGTTTTTCTGTTTACATTTGTCAATATGCTTCAGCAATAATTCCAGTCTACTTACAGTCAAGAAAAGCAGTTTAACTTGTCCTTATTTTTCCCTTTAAAACACCCTTTGTTCACAAACACACTTAGTGAGTGCACTTAGTTAGTTGTATGAATAAAAACCTCATCTAAGTTCCCAAAGTGAGGATGTGCAACTTGTAATCCTTTAAGAGTCTAAAATGATATATTGTTTTACTTTAAAAACACCTGAGGCAAGTTTTCGATAAAACCACTTAATTAACCCTTTAAAAAACCGTTATAATCTGTATAGTCCAAAACCGAGTCTGCATATTACATCTCGTCTTGGTTTTAATGAAGAGTCGTGTATATCATATACATTGGATAGTTATAGATCACCCTGGACTAGATGGACATTTCTCACCACTGAACCTGTCCGCAGACACAGTGACAGCCAATCAAAACCTTCATAGAGAGGGTTTTAGGGCAGAAAGTAGAGCGCAGCTTCTCCTAAAATCTATAGGCAAAATAGCCGGTTTGAAAGATTCAATAAAAGGGAAAAGTTTGGAAAGTCTCTCGTCAATAACGCAACAGAAAGATAGTCAGCGTTTAGATAGAATACAACTTCATGTCGTTTTGTTAATTGAACTGAACTCATAAAAACACACACCTGTGCACGAGGGGTTACCGTCAGACTGAAATCCTTCTTACCTGGCGAGTCCCGTGCAGCTTCTTCAGAGTCTCGTGCAGCAGAGAGATCCGGGACAAACACCGGGAGATGGTGCCGGTATTCCGGGTCGCTGCCTGAGATGAGCCGCTGTTCGTGGTGCGTTCAATGTCTCTGTGTTTTTCTACCACCGCCCCCAGCCTCCTCTGCAGATTTTCCTCCACCTGGTCCCGAGTTTAACACCAGCTGGAGCTCAGGACCCCCCCCCCCCCCCCCTGAAGACCCACCTCCTGACGGCTCCCCTACTGGAGGAAGACCAGTACTGTCATTACATAAACACACACACACACACACACACACACACACACACACACACACACACACACACACACACACACACACACACACACCTCAGTATCAGAATCAGATGTATTACCATGTAGGTACACACGGCGCGTACATAAAAGTAACACTCACACACACACCGTTATATTAGTGTTTATAGTTAAAAATATAAAAAAGGAATTATACTGTCTTTAAAAATTAAAGAAATAAATACAAAATTAAATAAAGACAAAATATGATCACCTTTACATCAAGCAATGGGTTAAAAATGTGTAATAATAATAATACAAATATATTTCATAAAAGTGTGTTTCGGGGAGTTCCAGCCTCCACATTGCTTGAAACCGGCTGAAAAAACCCCAACAATGTAGATATTTGACCACAACTTGGTGCTGGTTAATGTTTTTAATATGATCTGTGTAATAACGCCGGGCCTGCAGCAGATCTGTCAGCATGTGTGAAAAGCGCTCCTAAAATAATCAGATGATGATGAGCAGCTCGGTGCCTGCAGCGTGTTGCCGTCTCCTCGCTGATTTTTAACCGACGAGAACAGCATGACTCGAATTAGCTGCAGAGCATCGTCCTCTGCATGACTCATCCAGAGGTGACCAGGCTGCTCAAGTGTGTGTGTGTGTGTGTGTGTGTGTGGGTGTGTGGTGTGTGTGTGTGTGTGTGTGTGTGTGTGCGTGTGTGTGTGTGTGTGTGAAAACAACAAGACTTATGGAAGAGCTGCATATTCAAACACTACGGTTAACCTTTGCACACAGCTGCCCGAAACACTACGAAACAAACAAGTTAAAGTGCCTTTTTTGACGCTAAAGCTGTCCAAACGACAAACTCTTCCTCATACAGCGAGTCTTTATACATCAGATCTTTCTTGTATTTTCAATTTGTATGTATTTGTGTTTCATTGTTCTTTATAGTACATTACATTCAAATCTCTTATACTGTGTGTTTACATTTGCACAAAACCAAGTTGGAAAGATTCCCTTAAAATGTCACAAAAATAAAACATATATTTAAACATAATAACTTGTATGGTCCTTGTTCAACAAAGACAGAATATAATGAAATGAATTTTTATTATTAAAAACATTTTTAAAAGCATGCTTGATCATAATTACTACTAAAAGTATACAAATCATAAAAAGAAAATGTACTTTTATGCAGTTTTTTTGGATGAAAATAGCATGAGATGTGTACTTTTAATGGCATTAGGGAGGATCCCTTTTGGGAAACATGACTCAGACCAAAAGGTCCAGATTGAGGCACCATTGATCTATTTCACGTCTGTTTTCTCTCTCCTATGTAATATGTTGAAGACACCTGGAACACGCTGCAGACATTTGAAGCCTCTATGGCGCGTTTCCACTGCAGCGGGTAGCTCGCTTTAAGCGTGCCGAGCCGTGCGGGGCCCGTTTTTGGTTGCGTTTCCACTTGGCCTAGTACCGGCTAGCGGGTCCTAATTCACAGTTTTTCTGGCCCCATAAAATCGTGGTTCTAGGGCCAGGAACAACCAGGCTGAGTCGGGCTGAGTATGCTAAACTAGAGAGAGAATCGCTGGCAAGGCGGCTACAACTACAACAAGATGAACATATTTGACCGTGATTTAATTGTAATACACGTTTCAAAATGATGCCGAAGTAACAACATACTGATACTGGTTAGTAAAAACCATGAATTAATGCTTTGACAAGTCTGCAGACAGACGACAGGCGAAAAACCCTTTTAAAATGCGTGTTTTCTAAATGGAGCTTGGCTAAGCTAACGTTATATATGCTCCGACCGTTCACACTCACAACAACGGCCTACAGACATAAATAAACCAGCGACTGAATTCGCCATGACACAGGCAGTCTGTGGTTTGTACTTGTTTAACTTCTGTCTAGTTTCTGAACAGATATGAAGAGCTGTGAGCTCTGAGTGCTAACAACTAACGGCTGTGTTGTTTTTTCTGGGGCTCTCATTGAAGATGACGTCACGGCTCCGCCTACACTGCGTTACTATAGTTACTGCCCCAGTTCCTAAACTGTAATGGAAGCGCAGCATTAAAGTGAGCCGGGCCTAATAAGGCCTAACCAAACCGAGCGAGGCCTGCAGTGGAAACGCGCCATTAAATTCGTGTGTGTGAGGTGTGTGCAGGGGCGCCGCCAGGGATTTTGGGCCCCATGAAAATATATCACATTGGGCCCCACCACCAGGCCCAGGCCACGCCAACCAAGCACAATGCTGTAACCACACCTCCAGAACCCAATTACTCATTTATGCTTTAAATAACTCTACCTACAGGCTTGCATCTATCTTGTAGTCCAATACTAACTGCACTATATTTACTGACACTGAGCGGTGAACATATAACACTGTGCAGACGTTAGGGCTGAACGGTATACCGTGTCATGGCGATAACCGCGGTATGCACATGCGCGGTATTCACACCGCAGGGACGTGCGGTTTTATTCATTTAAAAAAAAAAATGCTAACGCACTTTAGCACAGAATTCAAAATAAAGATACCCTTATCACTTATCGAAACTGCACATACAATATATCCGATTAAAGCTGAGACTCCACAGATTATTTAAGTATAGTATCTAAGCGATCCGATCTCGCAACAGGGGAAGCAAACAGACATCACAACACGTACCTTTTACGGAGCTTTTAAGGGAGATCGTCTCACGGTAGCTGTCAATCTGATCAAAAGACGTGTTCAATGGTATTACAACGAGAAAGAAAAAACGCGGCTGAATCGGTTGATCCATAGGTTGATAATGTATCTGTGGCTTTGAAGCAATTGTTTATAATCCATAATTCCATTTTTATGTAAAAATCGGAGCACAAAAGTTAGCTGCTAATGGTAGCCACCGGTTTTTGGCTACGCGTCACTCTCACTCCTTATTTGTTCATGTGTTGGTGTGTGTAGAACTTCCCCTGCATGCACAGCAAACCACCAATCACAATCATCCTTGATCAGATCACAGCAGGCCCCGCCCCGCTAGTTTGCAGACCATCAAAACACTGGTAAAAAATGAGCGATAAAAGCGGTAAAAGCTTTAGGAATCCAAGGTACAACATATAATAAGTACTCTGTATCAAGATTGATGCAAAACAAGTGATATTTGACCTTTTTAGACAGATTTAGCAAAAACAACCTCTTCTGGGGCCATTTGGGTGGATTTTCCATATCTCTGGCCCACTTTACTGGATTGTGACATGTGACATCTCTTTCTGACCGTCAGAGCCAATGGAATCGAGGGGAAATCACACATTCCTTATTTGGTAATGTGTGTGTGTGAGACTTCTGGATCGCCAAGACCGGAAGCAGCAGCTACCATTGCAGCTACCAGTGGCTACCATTATCAGCTAACTTTTGCTCTGCGATATTTACATAAAAATGGAATTATGGATTATAAATTAAATCATTTTTTTATACAGAGACGTTAAAAACCTATGGATTAACCTATTCGGCCGCATTTTTTTCTTTCTCGTTGTAATGCCATTGAACACGTGTTTTGATCAGATTGACAGCTACAGTGAGACATCTCCCCTCGAAGCTACGTAAAGGTACGTGTTGTGATGTCTGTGTTTGCTTCTCCTGTCCGAGTTCAGATCACTCAGTGATGATACCTAAATAATCTGTGGAACCTCAGCTTTAATCGGATATCTTGTAAATGCAGCTACGATAAGTAATAAGGGTACTTTTATCTTGAGTTCTGTGCCAAAGTGCGTTAGCATTTTTCGCTCAGGGGTCATTTAGATGCTTCTTATGAGACTTGTGTTTTGTTTTGGTATAAAATGGTTTGTATCGTCAGTTAGCTGAGATTATTTCCATTAATCTGGTATAACACATTAATAGGTTCTTAAATATTACGATCCCCTGAGACACTGTCGTGAAAAAAAAAGTAAAGTACCCGCCGGGACTTTGGGGTTTAACAGGTTAAAAAAAACCGCGATATATACCGCAGGGGGGGAAAAAACCGCGATGTCAGTTTTTTTCAATACCGTGCAGCCCTAGAAGACGTGCAACATTCTGCTGCAGTATAATTCACTATTTGATATAACACTAACATTCCTGACAACAGACCTCAATAGTCATCTTTTATGGTGTTCATGCCTTTTTAATAACATTTTTTAATGGAACATTCAAACATCAAAATAAATATAATTTAAATATACATGACCTCTTAAATTAAAATAAAGTGAACATTAACACAAATATTATCATTTATAAAATGCTATAACAAAAAAAATAACATAAGCAGCAGATTTTTTAATTAAATATACCAACTTCAAAATAAGCGGGTATTAAAGTGTAAACGGACAATAAAACGGAAATGGAAATGAAAAGACCTGATGGTGGCGCTAAGTCAGAGCCTATCACCTGTTCTCAGTCTTTTTCTCATCATGCATCTTCTGTGTAGTGATCCAATACCGTTACCATAGCCTTGCCCTTTAACAGTTATTACGAGCCCTGGCTCAGCCGTAGACTCACCAAGAGCCCAGCGCCTAGCCTTCTTACAGGCAAAGTCACTGATCAAGTCC